GTAATTTTGTATATTATTATAATCGTACTAAAATTTTATTTATCATAACTTTTAAATGTTTGAATATTTTCTGAAATTAAGAGTTGTAATAGAGTTTTGTAATTAGAATATTCGTTTTTTATATTTTTAAATAATAGTAAAAAATCAAATAACAGAAGAAAAAAATTAATAAAACTAAATATTGTGTGAATATTTATTAAGGAAAATACCAGTAAATTAGAAGATGTGGTGTTGGTGGTTTCTCCGCTGGATAAACGTACGTAAGTAAAATTGGTGTTATTGTAAGAATAGAATTTGCAAGTGTTTGAGCTTCTTCACCAGCTAATAAGTATACAGTTGCTAAACCAGTAAAAAGAACTGCTAAATTGAACTCGTCTATACCTGTTTTTTGACGTAAAACTCGTAAACCTCGAGCTGTCATATGCTTCTGTAATCCGATTTAATATATTTGAAAATTTTTATTGGAAAGTTAATTTTACTTTTTTAAATACGACTTACAAACAAACTGCGAACAGTCAAAGATTTTTTTTTCATGAATGTAACTTTTGCTAATGAATTTTGTGATATTTTACAAATAAAATTAATATTTTAATGTATTATGAATAAAATTAATTCTTTAATATTTCATAAATAAAATTAATATTTTAATAAATTAATTAATACTAATATAAAGTTGGTGTTACTGTAGGAATAGCATTTGCAACTGTTTGAGCTTCTTCATCAGCTAATAAATATAAACCTGATCAAACACAAGTGATTGTAAATGACTTTGCAGCAAACCAGTATCATCGGTATGTGCCATTAGCAACAAAACTGACAATGAACTAAATTATTTTATCTGCTGCTTTTATATTATCATTTTTTACGTAAGAAGTCATTCACGTGCGTGTTAATTCATGTTTCTTGCAAAAGAAGAAATGTAATTTGAAACGCAAAAGAAAACTAATAATAATTCATGTGTTGTGTAAAAAGAAATATATATTATAATAAAATATTCATGAAAATTTTAAACTGCTGATTCATTACTTTATTGTTTTTAATTCATTATCCAACAAAATCGTCAAGGAAAATCTGACTAACTAAGATAAGCTAATATTTTTGCACTATACATTACTATCAATAAATTAAGATAATTATTAAACTAATTATTAAAATTACTAATTATAATAATCATTAAAATTACTAATTAAAGTAATTTTAAGTTATAATAATCATTAAAATTATTAATTTAACACTTAAATCAGTCAATCTTTGACGTTGCTTAAGTGTTAATCTAATTTAAATCAGAAAAAAATTTGACTTCATATTTTAAAACTTTATTTTTAGTTGTAAATTATTTGGCTTATTACAACTTCCGATGTTTTGATAATATTGAAAATATAATAGTGGTAATGGAGTAATAATCAAGTATTCATAACAATATTAAGTATTTGCAAATTTATTACTGAAAATATCGATTTATGAATCTGTATTTTTAATAATAAATTTGCACAAAGTCATATATAATACAAGCAGCTTATTCAAGTAATGATCAAGTATTTATGATAAATATTTGGAGAGATTAACATTAACATTTTGAACTTTGTTCGAAGAATTTCTTTCTCATTTTAAAAAGATTCATAAACCAAAAATTTGAATATTCAAAGTAGTCCAAAATCATTTCTCACATCGCAATTTTTTAATTTTCCTTTTAATATTTGCAAGAGTACTGTAATAATATTTTCAAGTTTATTTACTAAAAAGTTAGTTTAATTATTACTTTTGCTATTTAACTAATCTGTCATTGAAATACGTTTGAAATATAATCACAAATTGCGTTTATTTTATTGCGCTTGCTTTCGCTTAAAGATCGCAATTGTGAGCGAAATAGCATTGAAAAAATTACCGAAGTTATTTCTAATTAATAATTTTTAGTTACTCTAACTTATCTTCACGTTACTCTAAGAATTTTCACGCCTAATTTTGAAATTTTTGCTGCTTTGCATGTAATCTACGTACAAATTCACATTACCAGTTGCAGTTAATAATTACTCATAAAAAGCAATGCCAAAATAGTTTCAGAATTTGTAACAAAGTGATATGAAGCAGAAAATAAAGAAATTTGCGTTGATTCTATCACTGATTACATTTTTTTTGGTGAATGGCATACCTGTGAACACAAATTCAACTTTATTAGGTTCAATTTGTGTAGATCATTTTATTACATGCCTTTTTCTAAACAATATTTTTATCAATAATTTCAGAAGGCGAAATAGATCAGTCACCAATCCATAGTGACCTTTTGACCCGTTTAATGATCACTTCTTATCCTTTCGAAAAAACAATGACGGGTATTTTCAAAGGGCCAAGTTTTACAAATAGAGATTTGCGACTTATCTCAGCGTTTGTTTACATAATACTCAGATTTCAAACTTTATTCTCATTCATCAAATGTGTGCTAAGTTGAAATATTCATTTAAAGTAATCATTCGAAGCAAAAATTGGGCTTAAAGGATGTACTGTTGAGTAGTACGTGCTTTATTCTTCTACTACAGGACTTGCAAACTGTTGCACAACTGTGCAACTAAAGCTCTCAATGAACGCTTTCAAATTGTCCGCTTCTACAATGGCACATTCGAATCTCCTTCACAGCAGAATATTTTCAATGATTACGTCTGTAGATTGACAGATTCTGATTTAAGAAGGGAAGATTCCATTAGTGAACATTATCAATATGACAACACTGATATCAAAGTATGATAAACATTTCTGCTAAAGTAATCTATATGAGCTAGCTTCAGTAGTATTTCAATGCCTTAATTTTTTCATTACCTTACAAGTTTTGATTGATAATTGTTAATTACCGAGAATACTTATCTATAATGTAAGATCAAGAAGAAATTATATACTTATGACGTATTTACAAATGTGCTTGCGTGATATTAGGGTAAAAGTAAAGATCAATTTGAGTAATTATTCTTAACTATAATATGGGAATAGTACCAAAGAATTACTTTTATTGATTTTTGCTACCAAAAACATTTGAGAAATACTGGACACCTCAAATGGTCATTGTTTTTGGAAACAGTTATTGGAGCGAAGCATGCGGAGATTCATATCACTGTAAAATGGTCAGAGTAGAACAGACACCCTTTTTTTTGTACAATTTTTGTGGACAAATTAAATTCAGAAAAAACGGTACTTAATAAAGATGCTATTTTATCAGAAATAATCTCATTTTTTATAAATTTGTTAATAAAAAAGTATTTAAAGTTTCATTTTGAATGTATTTTAAAAATTATTCTAGTTATAATAAATTTTCAGACATTATAATAGGAGATGGTGTACTCATACCTAAAATGTTTGGTTCCTATGTAAAGCAGTTGACCATTACTAGAAGGATTTGGTCAGTCTTTTTGTTTATAACAATTATAATAATTGTTATTAATAATAATAATAATATCAATATCAATAATATTAACTAAAATAATAATAATTATTGTATTAATTATAATAATTATAGTTAATTATATTATTATTATTATTATTATTATCCAAAATGTGGTATAATTATGATTTAATATAATCCCTTAAACGTATTATCATACGTATGTGATGAAAACGAGTGATAACTTCAAGATAAAATTATAGAATACTAAAAAATAAATTTTCGGACATCAAGAAGTAATCAAATTGATTCTTTAAAATAGACTAAAACTTAAAATTGCAGGAGTCAGCAACACCTGACTGGATTTTTTTCGACAATATTCGAGGTAAATTCTCACGTCAAATTCTGCAAACGTAATAACTAATTATTTATCTAATATCAATAATAATAATTATTGTTAGCTATTATTAAAACTATTACTTAGTAAGACAAAAAGTGTTACTTTTGCAACTGCAGAAAATATTTCATAAAAAATAGTTTAAGGACACAAATAATATGCAAACAATCTTCGATATTGAAATTATTAAGAAGATTCAGAAATAATTAATTATCGAATATATAATTATTTCCAGCCTGACGTAAAATTTATCCTAATTTTTCAATCGCCAATCCATTCAAAAGTAGAAACGTTGCATTTTTTAAATAGGATGCGCAGATTGGATTGTGTAGACGTTTTTTTCGTTACACTATTTGCAAATACTTTTGATGGGTATATTATTTCTGATACTGTACTTTTCTTACTAAAGTATATGAGATAGTTACATTTGGTTGATTTTCTTAGCTTAATAATTTTGATATTGTAGCTGTTGAGATATATCTTCTAAATTCCAGTGGATACGGAGATGCAAGATTTGATTCTCAAACATCACTGTTAATTTTTGGAGGGAAAGGCGTTGAAAGAGCATTTTACGGTTTCGATGATACTAATGAAGAAAGTCTTAGATCTGAACTTCTTCGGTGGAAGGTAACCCATATATATGTTAACTATACTTATATTAAGCAAACTGAGAAGTAATAATTACCACGTGAAAGATTTAATAGTTGCTAAAAATTAATAATTACCACGTGAAAGATTTAATAGTTCTTAAACAAGTTTATCACGTTATCATTCGCTTCTTGCCTAAAAACGGAATTGATTAACAAATTTCTCCGTGAAAAACTCAAACATTTTAATATATACCTCAAAATGATATATTACCACACGTATGAAAGAAGTTAATGATAACGTGATAAAATAATCATTTTGATCAAATTGACTTTTTTAAGCAGATTTTTTTGCAGGATAATATTTCATTTTTCCAAACCCATCAAATTATAGCGTTTCATTTTTTGGATGATTATTCTACACCACGTAATAGTGACGAAATATTCAGGTGCACTAAATTTTACTAAAAATTTAACGCTTTAAAATAAATTTGAATAAAATGATATTACAAAGCAAATTTTTAAGTCAGGTTTTTGGTATTTGGCCAATGACTTTGCGTGCACCTGGAAATCATCACGTAATTGGCACTTGCAATTTACACAAGCAAAAACAGTCTGAAGATAATAAATCTTCGTATTTTGTTATTGTTGGATTCAAGAAAATATCAAATATGATTGAATCGTCTAGTGATGAAGAATCAGAGAACGATGAATCTCCCAATAAAAGAATTCGTGTTCATTAAAATAGCCCAAGTTTGTTTATTATTGCATTTTAATAAAAGTTTGTGATACAATAAAAATCAATGTATGATTCATTATATATAATCAAATCAATATCACAAGAAGGCTATTCTTTTTGTCTACATTGTTGGTTCTGGCGCTGAATCTAACGTGCACTTGCTCCACGCTAAATTCTGTTTGCTCGTCTTTGCTGCTTCTCCTTGTCGAATCCACGACTCTGATCGAATGAGATGCTTTCGGGCGCCTTTTTGAGCACCATCGATAGGATATATGAGTCGACGTGATAACCTACACTAATCCCCTTCACGTAACGTGTACGGAAGTTCGCCAATCATTAATATTCATTCATTCTAAGCTTACATATTCACGAACATTAGCGTGAACTGACTTACTTATTAAGCAATTCAAACTAACCTATCCACTATTTACTAAGTAATTCGATAATGTCTTAGTAAGAATAATAACAGACAAGGAATACTGTATTAAGTATTTAAATTTCAATCTTTTCTCAAAAAAGTGCTGAGAGAAGTGAAGTTACTGTCTATCTAAGTAAAATTAATTGCCTTCTCCTCGGTTGTCCAGAAAGGGAAGTTTCCCCAAGCAATCTCCCTTCTGTTCTACTCGACGTCCCAGCAGTGATTCACGTCAACGACTAGAAGGCAACAAGCTGTTTGAAATTGTCTGTCTGAGAAATGACTCAAGTCTACAGTAACCTGAGGGAAACTACAAAGCTAAAAATATGTTGTACGTTTCGTACAACTTCAATAGCCTCGCTGTCATACGTGGTAGTCACTGTTGCAGCAGTGCAAATATGTGATTTCTGTTTATTACTGCAATAAACAGCAATGATAAAATTTGTCCATAACAATGATATGAGATAAAGATGCATAAACACATAAAAATGGAAATTATTTATCACTTGTAATTGACGATGATCTCGTATGATCACGTGATAGCAACAAATCGATCGATATTTGGAACGAATGTAAATATATTATCTGACACGGAGGGCCAAGGAAGGTCAAAAATTGAATCAAAAATGTTTCTGTCGTTTTGTCATTGACGTAAGTGAAATGCTGAACATAAATCATTCACATCGCGGATGTTGACTGCTATTTTCTTCTCAAACATCAAAGATTAAACATATATCTCATTTCAAAATTTTAGCAATTTGGTTGTACAAAATTAGTTAAAGATATTAAGATATATTACTTACGTAAATATTGCTTACGTGTTACGTGATTTTAATGCTGATAATTAACTGTTAGTTGTGTAGAGCAATAGCAAAACAAAAAATTAATATCAAAAGAATCATTTTTAAATTTAGTCTTAAAATTAAAGTAAAAAGAAGGGGAAGTGAAGAGATTATCGAATTACAATTCATTTGTAATATTCAAAAAAATATCAAAATTTATAATTTGTAATTTTTTTTGTAATTTTTTTGTTGCTTCATTGAAAAAATCATTTCTGAATTGAAAATTCTCTATAAAAGTCTTCAAAAATTTGCTAAAATCAAAATTTGCATACAACTACCAAAAAAAATAAGCAATAATAGAATTTGATGAAAACGATTTATAAAAATCGAAAAAACTATAAATGTTATTAAATTTATGAACATAAAAAATTTATAAACTTTGCTGTATTGATTTTTTTTTTTAAAAAGTTGAAAGAAAGTTTAAATTTGCTTAAAATAACAATGTCAAAAATGATATAAATTGAGTTAATATTTCTGTTTAAATTTTCTAAATTTTTGTGCTTTTCTTAATAAATATTGCTCTCAGTTTATTTGTAAATTATTTAAAATGTAACTGAAGACTAATCTGTGATTTATACTTCATAAAAATAGCCATCAATGTATTGTTATTAAAATGTAGCATTTATTAAGCAGTCGAATATTTGTACCAATTCTTATTCTAAATTTGTTGAAAGTCTTGGTTTTACCACTAATTGTGTAGCACAATGAGAATTATATCTTTAAGGCAGAATAATAATCACTACCATAAATGTAACTTGTGATAAATTTTAGAGAGATTAAGCTGAGTTAAGTAACAAAAGTATAATTACTTACTTATCTTATTTTTGACTATTGATCAAAAGATTTTTAAAAGTTCTCTCTTAGTATATTAGGATATTTTTTAAGTCTGTGAGATTCATATTCTTGAGGTTTGTATGCTTGAGAGAAATTTTAAGTTTTAGAATTTTTGACTCTTAATCAAAAAGTTTATTTTCTCAGGTAATATAGCATTTATTATCTGATACTAAGATACGTAAGTAATTAATAAGATCTTAGAATTAAGTTTTCAGATTAAATTTTCAGGTTTTTTTTTTTGAAAAGTTCAATTTTTGCCATTTGTCTTATTTTATTTATGCAATACCTTCCAGAAAATCTACAAACACACCCTTACTCTCAATTCTGATCTCTAATAAAGTTACTTTTTATTCGTAAATATTTTTTATAATTTTATGACTAAAAAATATTTATACCATCTTTATTTGCAATTATTTTTATTTTATTTTTCTACAACAAATGGTCGTTTAGAAAAGATATATTTTTTGTAGCTTTGCTTTATAAAGTAAAATAAATGAGCTTGTGTCACTTACTAGTGACAAAGTTAGAAAATTATACCATACTCAAAAGTTAGGCATATTGTGATTGGATTTTGAAAAATTTTTACTATTAATAGACTAATTACTTATTCAAATTTGTTTTTATATTAATTCTTTCTTGACTATCTCAAATTATTTATTTAGAAAAGCGATTTTGTAACAAAAAAAGTTATTTTCAAAAAGTCATACGTTTTTTAAAATTTTTTCATTGCTCGACATAAAAGAAAAACAAAAAAACTTTACTTTTGCTTGTTTTTGCTGTGCGTTGCTGTAAAAAATTGGAATTCAAAAAAGAAATTTGTGAAATTTGAAAAATTTATTAAATGAAATTTATAAAATTTTTGCATTCACAAAATGCATTTCTTTTTTTGTCAAATGAATTTCAACATTTAAAAATGCTAACAAATTTGTTTTACTTGTATTGTGTAGAAAATTGGATTCCAAACGTAAGCAGTTCATATTACTGTTTACGTTTGAAACACAATTACGTTCATATTACGTGAACGAAAAACAATACGTCAACAATTAAAATTGTTTTCTATAATTTTTTTGTGCGATATTTACCAAATATAAAAATTATTTAAATTGTAATGGTTTAACAGAACGAGAACGATGAGTACAACAAATCTGAGCGAGGGGCAAATACTGCCAGAGTGCCGGAATGCCGGTCCAGCGCCAGAACCAATAAAGCGAAAATTAAAACTAACATCCACATTTTATTCATTTATAATAATAATAATAATAATAATAATAAAAGCTATGATAACAATAACAAATTCTTAAGAAAATCTGTTATTTATGGAAAAATAATTCCCAAAAATGCTGACAAAGTTTTTGTTCGGTTTCTTAACCCAATAAAATTAGTTCTTATGAATTTTTTAGTTTGATTTTAAATTAATTCTACTTACTTGATCAACTTTTTATAAGCTTAAAAAGGTAAAATTTAAAGCATAATTAGTGTAATCAAATTTTCCGAAGCCAAAATTAAAGTGAAAACTTTTTCAAATATAACTGCTCATTAATACAAACTGCACCAACCAAAAATAATGTTGAAAACAGATCAAGTTTAAAATTTCAAATTTTAGAAAAAATTAGAATTGAATAATTTTTTTATTTAAAAATTTTAAAAAAGAAATAATTTGAATTAAATAAAAAATTTATTAAAAGTTATTCAAATTTTTGAATTATCCATCTGCTTGTAGCTGAATAAATTGTTGATCTGAAATAGAAAAATAGAATGCGTGGTAAAATATCACAGAATCACAATTTATTACCAAATTTATCACTAAAAAAAATTAATTAGTATGAATTTTTTGCACGACACAATTATTTTTTAGGTTTTTTCGCGTTATTTCGATCATATAATTTGTGTTATGAATCACAGAAACTTTTTTCTTGATTTTCAAAGTTAAATTTCAGGTGAAAACTTCTCAAAATATAATGGCTTTTTGAAATTGAATCATTTTTTTTTACTTTTTTGACCTAAATATTTTTTGCGCTAGAAAAATTTTAACAATTTCAAGAATAAAAATTCTATTGCATTAATTTAATTATCTAAGGTTAAATTTATTCAGGCAAAATTTTTTTTCACATCAAAATTTTCAAAATAATGATAGTTTATAATTTAGGCTGAATAATTTCAGGCAGTTTATAAATCTAAAAAAATGGCTGTGCAAAAAAATTATAATTTTTTTATAATAATTTTTTAGGATAATAATTTGGTAAATTTTTAAATTAATTTTTTTAATAAAAATGTTTTTTTAAATAAGAATAAACAATTTTTTAATAAAATTTTAAAATAATAGTTTAATATTTTTTTGCTGATTTTTAACAAATGTTTTTCAAAACTTTTTTAAATAATATATAAACTATCTGAAACTATTAATATTCAAATTTCTTCATCAATAATAAGAGTTTTTTTATTTATTCTTTTAAAACATAATTTTTTTCAGCTGCAAATGTATTTTTTTTTCTCATAATAATTTTATAAGAATAAAAATTAGGATTCTTTTGAGTAATTTCACTCAATACAATTGTCATTTTTAAATGAATACTAATTTTTTGCATGAATTTTAAGTGTAAGTTTTATTGAGCAAATTAAATGACCTGAACAATAACTTGTTTTTTTACATGATTAAAAAAATGAATATAGTGGATAAAACTGATAAAGAGTAGATGATAATGACTAGTATATATCGCGTTGGCTCCAGCGCAAAGTCAATTAATCGTTAGTTTTGTAAGTATTAAGAAAACGGATGAAAACTGCATACCATACCATGTTTCATGACCTTAAATGGTAGTATTAGTAGAAGTAATCGTAATATTAACCTCATTCATTTGGTATTTCAATCTCACAGTTGTCTGATCATCGTTTTATGATCAAAATCACTGTATGATTATCATTTAATGATTTTATTTGTCATTTATCATGCATTATCCAATCTTTGATTTATTTTATCAAACTTTTTCTAGCATTTTTTTCATTCATTTTGTCATAGAAAAATTTTTTTTTTTACATTTTTATCTTTTTGTTTTTAAATAAAAAAATAAAAATACTTCAATAAAAAATGACAAAAAATTATTCGTCAATTTATAATTGATCATGCTTAATCTACATA